TTCTTGGGGACCAGACGTGCTGAGTGGACCTGGAGCCCTGCATGGTGATTGGGTCCCCCAGTAGGCGTTAGGGTGGACAGGCAGTGTTGCCTTGGCCACGTGGGTGGTCACCTCGGGGAAGCTTGACGTCTCCCCCTGAGAAAGGAAGAAGGGCAGCTCCGAGGAGTTACCTGGCCAGCGTTACCAGCTGCCTTATCACGGCAGTATCGGTGATGGAAGCACTGATAGTAATAATAGTGTCAAGAGAACAAAGTGAGTTTATGCATTCTATTTTAAACATGTTTTTGCTTGAATGACGGTTTACAGTTTATTTGTATCATTATTGATTCAAGGAGGAAAAGAAGTGATGTTTTTCCTAACTCTAAGAGGATCTGAACAGTTCTTATACTGGTTGAGTTCATTATAACAAGATCAGTGTTAGTGGATTGAATATTTTAAAACTCAATTTCCTATAAGCAGCATACAGTGAACAAATAGAATTTTCTATAACAGATATGTAAACAAGATAGTCTCAAGGTTAAAGGTTACGTAGCAACTAACCATTGTGCTTAAAGCAGCAGCGCTCAGGAGAGGACGTGATAAACAAGCCACTCGATGTATGAAAAGGCACAGAGCAGGAACACGTCTGACAAGGGAGGACCTTCACCTCCAGTGTGGCCGATGTTCATGTTCAAGATAGTTTCTGATGTTTTCCAGCCTTTATCCATATCTCTCTAACAAAATGTAAAGGCCAGCCCAGGGCCTTTTATTCTCATAGCCTCACGACGAAAACTCAAAATCTTTCATCTCTCAAGGTTCCTGCTGTTGAAAACTTGTATCCCTTGGTTTTGGCTTTTATTTTAACCAAGGATGAGTTCAGTAATTTGGGGTTTAATTCTTTCACACTGTAATAGCTCCCTTTTGTTGTCTGCTGTTTGCCATGCCCTCTAGAATGCTCTCCATACCACGCTCCCCACAGCCTTACATTTATGAGGGCATGCGACACAGCAGTGAAGGGACCTGCCCATGGGCCCTCCCCTGGAAGTGACAGAGCTGGGGTGGGACCAGTTCTGTGTGACTCTCAACCCTTTTGCTGTACCACCTCCCACTTCAAACACGGTGCCAGACCATGACGACTGAGACCCTGATTTCTGAGCCATCGACTTGTCCTAGACCTCCGTACCCCGCGGGATTTCTCCTGTAGTTTTTCCCATTAGGTATCTGGAAGCTTATTTAAAAATTTAAAAATCTTTTAGCTTTGGAGGCTTTTAACAAAGAAATATAGTAAAGGTCTAGTTATTATAAGTAAAAGTAGGAAAAAGATATAAACCATAGCTTGTCTTCTAACTGGAAAATTTTAGTACTTAAATTCTCAGTCTCTGTAGAGGGTGAGGAAGAATAACATTCAGAAACGCATTTTTTTTTTTTTTTTTTTTACCAGAACAAGTTCAATCATCATCTTTTAGCAACTCAGCTTTCACTTTTCCTTCCATCTTTTTTTCCCATTGTTGGCAAGACTGTATTACTGCACTTTTTGAAAAAACGTGGCGAATTCACTGCCATTTCTCAAATAAGCATATGGTTATATTCTATCGCCCCAGAAACAGGGAGAAAATTTTCTCCAGACAGAGTTTGTTTTCCCTTTTGGGCTTAAGGATTGGCAGTGAATTCCAAGTGAGCAAGTAGTCGGCAGTAGGCGCAGTTGTCTCCGTCAGGAGAGGAGACTTCTGGCCCACTGGGGCCTTCTTGGAGTGTGGGGGCTGCAGGGGCATCTGTGTGCCCCTTTTTCATAGAGGCGACGTAATGGTGGTCCCCGCCCTCAGCCTCCAGCCACTTGGCTGGAGCGAGCATCCTGAGGCCTGTGCTGCAGACATGATGCCCATCCCTGGGGGCTGCCCACATGCTGCTCCGCATCCTGGCACGAGCGTGGAGACTGAGGGGGGCTGCCCTCTGCTCCATCCTCCCTGGGAGGGGGATTTGCTAACTGGGTTTGGTTTCTGACTAACTGTAGCTCCAAAGGCGAGGAAGAGCTTGGGTTCCAGGGGAGTTTCAGGAAAGGAAAAGAAGAGTGAACTCGAGAAATACCAGGTCCCCAACTAGATTAATTCCCTGGGAAGCAATGTTTTGTTTACTTGTGAGTGTTGCTTGTCTGTTGACCTCGTGAAAGGGACATAGCACCCAGACCACTATAAGTCTGCTTGTCTGCTTGATGCCTTTTTAGAAGAATTCTTTATTTATTAGAAAAAACAATATTATGGCAACATTAGTGTAATTTAAACAGTTATCCTACTCTCCCTAGAACAACCCATTGGTAAATCTCTTCCTGGTCTTTGTCCGTATCACCGCCTATGTAATTCTCTTGTAATTCAAGAACAGGTATCAAGCATTGTCCATTTTGCCACAGAGTGCTGTCTGTGATTCCAGTTTTAAATGGCCCTTCAGCACTCCACCAGGCAGAGAACCATGTCTGCCTTAGCTGCTCCCTTGTGTTGGGTAGCTGGGCTGCTGTTTATAGTCCCTTCACCGTGACGGGTATATGACCTGAAGTGGCTGGCTCTCCACAACATTGTGATGACATAGGATGACCAGGAAAATCTTGGTATGTTGCATTTTGTAGCAAAATATTTTAAGGGGCTTATTGAGCTTAAAGAGGTGTAGAGTCTTCATTTATAAGAGGTCAAGTGTTTCCAGAATTTTCTCTGGTGACAAATGACTGCCAATTTTAGGCCCCTAGAAGATATTAGAAAAAAATCGACACACTTAATCATCTATCAAGGTAAAAGTGATGCTTTAACAAAGACTAAGGGAGTAACTGCTTTCCAAGAAATTTGCACTATAGAGAGAACATTTTGAGAACAGATGTTTTTAATTGTTTCCATCGTTCTGTAATTTTTGTTGCCAAAACAATGATGTAAACGTGTCACCTATTAAAAACTGTAATATCTGCACCTTTAACTTGGGAACAGGGTTTTTCTAATCTGCTTTAAAACCTTTTAAATGAAAATTTCAGTGGATTTTGAATTGGGTTGTTAAAAATATGAGAATGTAGTAATACCCTCTGATTAGTTGCAGGAGCCATTAGTTGACATCAGGGAAAACGGAGCTTTCCTAGCAAAATGTTCACAAAAGCCTTTGCATCGGTGGTAGATGGAGATAGAAAATGTCTCCTTGTCCCCCTTGGTGAACATCATCCATCTGGGCCTGCACATCTCTGAGAGGAGTCTTGGTGGGCTCTGGTAGACTTCAGTGAATAAACTGAAGCTGAGCTGGGCTACGGTCAAATCACTGAGTCACGGAAAGTTCCCTACATTTGGAAAAAATGGAAGCGTAGTCAGTCCTGTTGTTCTTACGAAAAATATTGTAACATTTGATTTAATGATTTCAAAGAGGTTTGTTGATATTCTTAGTAAAGGCATATTAAAATATATTTAAAAATATTGGTTATTTTATCCTTTTCTCATCCTTTAAAATGTTCCATTTTTGGTATTTGTTTTGATATTCATAATATATCGGTGCAGGAGCACATGGTATAACTTATCAAGAAACAGACATGTGCCTAAGGGCTTCTCATTGATGGGGTGCGCTGTCAGACGCGTTTGGAGACCATGGATCTGGACAAACTGGATTTACAAAGGCTTCTGCTGTAACTCCTGAGAGTGCCGACGGACGGCTTCCTTTCCATGCCTGGTGAGCTGGTAGAGCAGTTAACCAAGCACGTGGCGGCGTCCTGAGCACGAAGCAGTTCAACCTGACGGAAGTGCTTTCTGAGCTGAATGAGCTAATGTGCATCCTGGGTTCCCGTAAGAGGACGTGATGCTCAAGATCTTGGCGTCACATTGGCCTTCTTGGCCAGCAGCTTCTGTGTCCCTAACTGCCCACTGCCTCCGTCCAGCAGAGGAGTTTCCTTGGGCCAAAGGCAGTTAAGCTTTTCTCTCCTGGGCTGCGGGAGCCCTGGTCGACATCTCTGAGGGAAGCCGCCTTCACGTTCCTGGTTGGCGTGGTGTGTGGCAGGTGCCACACCTGCCGTGTGAGCAGGGACGTGGCCTGGTGGCCCAGCCCCTGGGGACATGTGGAGAGGCAGCACTCAGACTCAGCAGCGAGAATGGCTTCTAAGGCCAGTCTGGTTTCTCGATGCAGTGTCCCTGGGGTTGAATTGAACACAGGAGAACCACAGCTGGTGCTCTGGGACCCCAGGAGGCACAGCGTAGAGGAAGGAGCTCTGGCTTTGGAGCCCAAAGCCAGACCTGGGCTCAGGGCAGAAGATCTGATCCCCATGTGCCCCGAGTCTGACCTGTTTATATAGCTCACCTCTGAAAGACCATAGTGACAAACAGACATTCTCCACACCAGATGTACATCTGTGCACACAAACATTTGCACAGTGCACACAATGCTTGACAACAGTTTCATGACAGGTGTGTATAGGACGAGACCCCGATGGTCCACTCCAACCTGTTCATCCTGGGACTTGGGCCACGGTGATGTCACACTCTTATTTGTTGCCCAGAGCATCAAGCCACCCCCACCTGCCACGCTCTGTAGCAAACCATGCATGGGTTTTTGTAAGGGCTTGACTGTAAGATCGCTGATTCTAAAAAGAATCACTTTGGAGCATCCTGCTTTTGGTTTTTAGACTTTATTTAGGTAAATAATCTGTATTAATTGTGCAGTTTTGGAAATGTTACCTAATCTCCCTGAGCCTTGTTTTTTTCCAATTGTAAGTGGGTTTGGAGTGGTTGTGTGGTTTAAATGAGTTGATACATATAAGGTGTACGGAGCACATAAAAGGTGACAGTCATGGGTCCAGTCATCTGGTTTAGCCCTGGGGGGGAGTTCAGCTATCAAGGGCGGGGGGGCCAGAGAGTGAGGGCAAAAGTTGCTGCTGCTGCTGCTGTTGTGTTTCTAGAAAGTCTCCACTGGCCACCTTGGGCCCAGGGGGCTGCAGAGGGCATCTTAGTTTTAAGGTATTTATTTTGTAATCTGAGTAGTTTCTAACCCTCTCTTCTTTTTTCGTGTTGTAGGAACCCGGCTGTTCAGTGGTCAGAGCGACTTTAGAATCACTACCTTGAAGTTTCATCCGAAAGATCATAGCCTGTTTGTGTGTGGAGGCTTCAGCTCTGAAGTCAAAGCTTGGGATATACGGACCGGCAAGGTACCACGTCTTCCTCGCTTGGCCTTTCCCCAGGAGAGCTTGCCTGACGATTTGAATGATTGGGGGCAGGGCAGCATCTATATATAGGACCCAGAGATGGAATAATTACCACTTAATATCTAATCAGTGCTAATCGTCGTTTTTAGATGCTTTGAAAGAACATTCTTGAGTTGTTAGGACTATTAAAACATCATAGATGCAATTCTGTACAGCTTACTAAAAATATCTATTGAGTACCTACTATGTGCAAATGCTTCCAGGTGATATAAGATGAATCACCCTTGGGTCACTCAAGGGACTAATGTGTGTATACAGATAACTGGTGCCGAGAAGTGGTGTGTGTGTATGTGTGTGTGAGTTTGTGTGAGTGTGTGTGCACGCGCGCGCATGTGTGTGTGTGAGTGTGCGTGTGTGTGTGCGCGTGTGTGAGTGTGTGTGAGAGAAAGGGGGAGGAAGAGAGGGGCCTGAATTCAGAGCAGGGAGTGCTTTCAGCCTGGTGTGAGGAAGCTTCTTAGAGGAGACCGTGTTCCCTTTGGGGCTTAAAGGCCGGTCACCATCAGTCCCGTAGAGAAGTGATGCCCACTCCCACCCTCGCCACAGCCTGCTGCTCCTGTTGCCTCCACCAGCTTAATACCTGGCACCTCTATCCTTTTCGTTGTGCAGGCGAAAACCGTCAGAACCATCCCTGCCTCTGCTCTTCCTGTCCCCCCTATACCCAGACCATCAGCAAATGCTGTCATCACTCTGGTTTAAGCTGCCATCGTCTCTCGCTGGCATAACTGCAGTGGTTTCCTGTCTGGTATCTCTCTTTCCCCTTGCCCCTTACAGTTTGGTCCCAACACAGCAGCCAGTGTGGTTACAGTGTAAGTCAGATGTGTCCCTCCTCTGGTCAGACTCCTCCAGCCTCCCATCTCACTCACAGAAGAACCAGTGTCCCTGCAATGGCCCCCAAGGCCTATGTGATCTTCCCTCAGCTCCTTCTCATCATCTCAAGCCCTGCTGGGCCCCTTGCCTTTCCTAGAACACACCAGCACATTCCTGCCTCAGGGCCTTTGCACATGCTGCTCCCTCTGCCTGGAAGGCTCTTCTCCCAATTTCCTATGTAGAGGCTCGCTCCCTCCCTGCTACAGGGTTCTGCTCAAATGCCACCTCTCCAGTGAGGCCTTTCCTGGCCACAGTGCCGGCCACCCCCTGGCATTTACTAGTTCCCTTTGCTACCTCATTTCTCTCACCTGGAGCACTTATCATCACCTGGCATACTTTGGATTTTACACGTTTATTTATTTGCCTGTCTCCCTCCACTCGAACATAAGCTCCTCCAGGACAGAGATTTTGTCTGTTTTGTTTGCTGTTAGCTCCTAGAAGAGTGCCTGGCATGTAGTAGGCACCCAGCAAACCTCGGGTGACTGGATGAGTGAATGAAGGAGGAAGGCAGTCATATGGAGTGTGCAAGTGCAGAAGGTGGGGACCTGAAATGTGTGCAGTGACCAGTGGCCGGCTGGACTTGGCTGGGCATGGGCTCCAGACAGCGAGCCAGGCCTGGGCAGAGAAGCTTCCAGTGCCATGAGTCTTGGTTTGGATTAGCAGTGGGAGCCGTGGGAAGTTTGTGAGCAGAAGGTGCTGGGATCAGGGCTGAGGAGGGGTTGATGGAGGGGTGCCAGCCTGACTGCCTCTGCGGGCTCAGTGACTTCAGGATGGCTGGTTTTCGAGACCTGAGAAGCACTGCCCTGGTCTGAAGGAGGCATACAGCCGCTCGAGTCCTACAGGGTAGTTCATGATAAAACCCATGTAGAACTTGACTTTGAAAGAAGGAGGTGCAGAATGTCAGCGAGTGTCGTCCTCTGTGTGGGGTTCAGGGGACTCATGGGTCCCACCTGAAGGGCTCTAGCCTGCTGGGTCTGTAGCACCAAAAGGCTCTACCTAAAGGCTTCCCCCTCTGGGGCCGCCTCCTGCCTGGTCCTGGACAGGTGCAGCCCCGTGCAAGTCTGCGCTGAGCAGAGGCCGTCCCACGTGGCCTGGACGCAGGGAGGTGGGACAGGCCTCCAAGGCCAGATTAGAAGGTCGAGTTGGTGCTTCTCACTGGCTGCTGCAGGGGACGCTGTCCCTCCAGGCTGTTGGAGGGGGCTGCCGGTGTTTTGAGGAGAACCTAAAAACAGAGAGTTTCTTCAAAGAGAACAGGAAGTTTTATCCATAGATATCTTGCTTAAAGTACTTCACAAATGGTAGAGGTACAGAGAGATGTCCTCTTTTCAAAAATATGACACATTTTTCTTTTACAAAGAAACTTCTCTTTACAAAAATATTTGGAAAAGAGAGGAAAGTTACCCGTGAAGTTTTTAAAAAACACTAGAACACTTCTATTTGGGATATAAATACACGATAAATGAAAGAAAACATAGGGAAGTGCTGCTCCGGTTGGAAACTCTTAGTCATGCTGAGTGAAGCGAGGCCTCCTGATTACCCAGCCCCGCTGATGGCCACGTCCCTGAAAGGTGCGCTTACTGTTTTCAGTCTCGAAGACCAAACACGTAAGAAATTACTCACCAAGGACGCCATCTGATTTAAGAGTTTGTTAAAAATATCGGATTTTCTCTCTCCTAAGGCAGACGCCAGCTGATGAGCTTTGAAAATGCTGGGGGAGAAGAAATTAGAAACAGATGTTGCCGTGACTGGTATTGGCATGTTTGGGAGTCTCTCCCAAGCTAATAATGTGGGTGAGGGGATCTGTGTAATATTTGTTTTTACTTTCTTTTTACCAACAATGCTACTGCCTCTCCTCCCCCGCTGGGTTGCAGGGCTAGTTCCATTTTGCATCAGCCAGGCCCAGGGGACAACTCTCTTTCCTGCTTCAATTTCATTTCTTCTAACAGGTATTGCCTGAGTGTCTCATATGGACCCAGCGGGAGAACTAGAGAGAAAGGCACAGACTCCATACCCTCTGGGGCTCCCACCTGGGCCTCTCGTTTTTGACCCTGCTGGGCTCCCGCGGGGTGCGGAGCTCTGTCCCTGGTGCTGAACTCTCCCGCCCTCCCTGGTGCGTGGAGGAACATCTAGGGCTGGGCAGCTTGGGTTTTTCTGGCTGCCTTCAGGGACAGCGGTGGTAGCGAGAGGGACACAGACCTTAGCTTAAAATCAAGACAAGCTTCCCCTTTTATATACCACAGGGAGGACTGTTTTGTAAAAGTAATATGTGATTGTATGAAAAAATTAGAAAATAGGAGGAAATAGAAGAAGTAGGCGAGCCAGCCAAAGATAAACATTAGGAACATTTTGATAATTTTCTGTCATTGTTCTTTTCCCTTGTGTCTGTGTGTTTTTAAAAAACATTGTTTGGTCTTATTTTTATACATAGTGTTGTATTTTGCTTTTCTCATAGCATTGTAAGGGTTTTCCTTGTTATCACAAACTCTTGTAGAATTTTCGGTACATCCCTTGACGTAGCGTGCTTGGCCAACTTGCTCCTTGCCCTTTCCCCGGTACTCAGAGCAGCATATGAAATAAGTAGGCACTTGATAAATACGGATCAAATGAGTCAACTTCAAATGGTTTAGGTTATTAAACCATTTCCCTAGGTTGGACATTAAGGATATTTCTCTTTCTTTTTTTGCCATTTAAAATTAATAGATAGGAATATGGGGATCAGGAGTGGGCAAACTGCAGCCTGCAGCTAAATCTGGCCTGCTTCCTGTTCTTATAAATAAAGTTTTATTGAAACACAGTCACACTCATTCATTTATGTATTGTCTATGGCTACTTTCACACTACAGTGACAGAATTGAGTAGTTGCAAGAGACCACATGGCCTGCAAAGCCAAAAATATGTATGATCTGGCTGACCCCTGCTATGGATAGATCTGGCTGTGACGTCTGTCACCCTATTGATTATCGGGACTAATCCTCCTGATCTGGCCGAGAAGGTGGGTACCCCTGTGCCTCTCCCTTTTATGGGCATCCTTGTGGAAACCGTGTGCTCAGAGAATGTCTTTTCCAGAGAACTCTTCTTCAATCAGGGGTGTTTAAGTCATTTTTCTCTCTTGTTATAATCTCTGAACAACCATCCAGGTCTACTTTGTTATATATTCCACTATACGACACGTATTTGTGCATCTAGTGTTTTCCACAATTGAGGTTTATTTCTTTACGCTTGGGTCCTAGAACTCAAATTGCCAGGTCAAAGGGAGTCAGCCTTTTGAAGGTGAGGAGTTGGGGAGCTGAGGCGTGCTGTCTGTGAGCCACCACTGAGCAGGACTGCAGGGCCAGACCACCTCTTACAGGCTCTCGGAGAACAGAGTCTGGAGAGTAGTTGGAACAGATCACTCTTAAGCTGCTTCCCAGTCATACAATTTTATGATTCCTTGGGCTAAGCCAAATGATAAATGTTGGGATTCGGGCCTTCTACAGGCCAGCCCAATTCATTACAGCAAATGGGCTGTTTGGCTCCCCTTTCTTCTTCTCTTGGCTGCTGTCTCTGCCTCGGGTTTGGTGATTGGAGCACATCCCTCATTGCAGCAAAGTGCCTGACTTCATTTCCAACAGGTCAGCAGGATGTGTTCGCATGAGCCAGCGGAGCATGCTTCCTTGAGCTGGCTTAGTGTCACCAGGACGGAATTTTCTGACTCCCTTTCCTCCTGGCAGTCTGCTTGAACAAGGGTGTGAACTGGAACTCAAGACGTCCATGGTCTAACCTTCATGTCATGGTGGGGGTCCCTCTCTCCAGAAGCCTCTCCTGGCCTCCAGTGCCTGGGCTCACGTACTGCTCTACCAGCCACTCAGCTGGGTGGTGTTAGGCAAACCCCTGAGGCCCAGTGTCTCTCAGTCATGGTTTCCCCACTGGTGTAGTAAAGGGGCAGGATGAGGTCATCTCTAAAGCAGGGCTGCTCAGGCTCACTCGTGTGTAGGAGAGCACATGGGGCTCTTGTTAGGATGCAGTCTGTTTCGGCAGGTCTGGGACAGGGATGATGTCTTAGCTCAGGCTGCTATAACAAAGTCCCACAGAATGGG